AATCTCAATATCAATGTGGTAGTTAAGCAACTTCATATGAACTTGATAAGTGGTTGATAGGGGTGGAGCCTAGCCTGCCAGTCAGGTCACAGCCTGATTGATGCCTTCTTGTGACTGTGGCCTTCTGAGGAGGATTCTGGGACTTCTTGTCTACCCTGGAGGCCGGACACACACTCCCTCTATGTTAGACCTTCTTGTTGACAGGCCACATGGAGCCACACTGATGCCAACCAGAGCCCTGGAGATGCTTCCACTGTAACTGAATCCATAAGATTTTCCACCCAGTTCTTCCTGTATTCAGCAGCATTGCATGTGCTATGTGAGTCTGAAGAGGAATTTATGGGCCTATATCAGACATATGAGCTAATATAATCGGACTTATAGACTTGATCTTGACTGGGCTGGGATTTTTTTTATACAATTACTTTTTAATATAATGTTCTCTCTTACACACATTTGATTGTCTCTAGAATTGTTTCTCTCATCAACCCTGCCTAACATACTAAGTCTTTGTTATCACAGTTCTTTTATTTTCTATGGAGCACTATGCAAACGTGTACACGTATGTTATTATTTATGTATTGTCTGCCTCCTACTTTTTGATGTGAGATAAATATAAAAATTTTCCCTTTTTACTGCATCTGTCCCATAATATAGAATAGCACCTAGACTATAAAGGGAATTGTGAATATATATTGAATGGAAAAATGAATAATTCTAATGTTTAACAAAAAGTAATAGAGTAATTATTTTATATAAAAATATTTTTCAGGAGTACAGAAAATATAGAACATTAACATTTTGCCCTTAAAAACTCAGATTTTATTAAATCTATAATACATGTTTATTTCACAGATGTTTTAAATAGCTATTGAGATATATGTATCACACATATGTAACTTTCCTTTCTTACTTATTTAACTACTAATATTTTAACCCCCAAATTCCAAAAATAGAGCTGATAGTATATCTTAAAGTTGGAAGGCATCCACTGAATCTCTGGGTGAGAAAACAAACGAAACACAAATATCAAAGAATGAATGGAACTGAATCATTTTTAGAAACATTTTTCATTCATATAAAATATCTGAATTTATAATGAAGACACTTCTATTTATGAGAAGCAGAATCTTTACAGTCTTGATATTGAAACAATAAAAATATATTCTTATCCTTAGACACGACATGGGAGAAAGACAAGGCTGCTTGCTCCATAAAGATATAAAGGCTTGGAAAAACCCCAGAAGGCAAATCTCTGTCCTACAGGGTCACTCTGAGAATCACCTTAATGATGGTTGGTTTGGTTTTAAGTTTAGACACAGAAACTCTGCTGATCTTACAAAACCATTAGCACAACTAACATTACCTCTTAGTCGTCAAATTGCATGGTAGAGACTCAAGGCAAATGAGAGACTATATTTGAGGTTAAATTTCCATATTGCAAAATTCACGGGCTGTCATTAACAAATCCAGGCTTGCACTTGGATATGTTTAGATTCTATCATACTGTCTAATATAATTGTCCTTACTTGTAAGCAAAAAGCTAACAAAGGGACATTACGCTGTCCTTGATACTTACCTACTGCCATAGAGTAGATTCCAAATCAAAGTGACTCAGTACTGAGGAACTCAGGATGTAGATATTTACAGAGGCAACAAGCCTTCAGCTTCCCTTTGAACAGCTGATCTTTGGATTAGCTTATCCAACGGAACGCCAAGGCTCCTTCCCTTTATATTGAGGCATCAAAAATCTAAACTCATTTGAGGTGTGAAAATGTGCAAAATGTCCTCAGACCTTCATAGCTAACCAAAGCAATCCTGTATAGCTTTTCTTGGCCATCACATGTGTATTACAGCTGTGGTAGCACGGGAAGAACCATCAATACCATGAATAAATATTGTAATCAAAGTTATGATTACTAGGTAGAATACCAACTCACAGCAAAAGAACTTTAAAAAAAATAAAGGAAAGGAAAAGAAAGAAAACTATCAAGACATTTATTTTTTCAATTATTAAAGTCACTACCATCTAGTCAATTCCAACTCATAGCAACCATGGGGTTCCAGACTGTAAATCTTTATAGGAACATATAAGCTCAAACAGGTGGTGGGTGAACTGCCTGCCTTTCAGCCTCAGTCTGAAGTTTACCCAACAGCTCCTCCAGAGCCCCTTAAGAAACATCTCAGTCTGAATGGGTGCAACAGCAAAATGTGGTGAAGGATGCAGACGGTGCCTGACTAACAAAAATGAATAGCATTTGGGGTCTTAACGGCTTGTCTTCGAACCAGCAGCCATCTAAGTGAGGTGTCAACTAAGTCACAAAGAAAAAGCACAACTGCCTGTGTGATTTACGCTTGATAAATAATAAAATCCAGATCCAAAGGTGGTAATAGTATCAGAGCTTAAATTGTGAACACCTGATTTGAAGAAGGTAATGGTTGACGGTGGGAGCCCAAAATCCGTTTGGTGCCTACAGAGATTTAGCCTCTGATAAATCCTTCTGAGAGAGGTGAGGGATTTAAATAGACTTGCTCTCAGAGAATACCTTAAATTTGATCATTGTAGATATAATGATCTTAAAATGTGATACCTGATCATTTGATCTCCATTTTGACCCATTTTAAAATTGTTCTAGTTTTTAATACATACTGATTTTTTTCTCGATTGCTTTTTCCCCTCTGGTTCTTAAAAATTATTATTTTATTATGATTGTTTGGGGGCATCTGAAGTCCGGGATGAGTGAAGCTATAGAGAGTAAGTGGATTAGATGCTCATTGGGGACATGGAGGAGGAGGCTGCAGGACAGGGTGGAGCTAACAGGAATAGGAAAGGGAAAAAAATGTTCTGGAACTGATTGCTGTGATGATTATATAACTCTTAACACAACTGAACTATATGTTAATAAAACTATAAAAAAAGCCTTCTCACTGCCATTGAGTCAATGCTGACCCATAGTGACCCCACAGGATTCTATGAGTTTCTGAGACTAATTGTTTATAAGTGTAGAAAGTCCCATGTTTCCTCTACAGAGTGACTCATGGATTTGAACTTTTGACCTTCTGCATCAAAGTCCATTGCAAAACCACTACACCACCAAGGTCCAGACACCATCACCACCGCCCCTCCTCCCCAAAACTCTGCGTTGCCGTTAATATTTTGCTAACTTAAATTCTCTCCAAAGAGAGATTTTAAATTCCTTGAAAGCAGTGCAGTGTTATATTCTCACAATTGATTATCTCCTAAGATACTTATTTCAGTGTCCTTCATGTACTAAAACACACGATTAATGAAACCCACTCATTCACAGGTTTCTAAAATAGTGAAGCAGTCACCAGGTTCTATCATGAAGAAACTGAGACTCCGAACCAGTTAAGGCAGCTAGAGAAGATGAGTCAGTGAAAGATCGGTTTGTTTCATTATGAAACATTTTCTATTTGTTATACATTACATTGAATTGAATAACGGTATATGTGTGCATGCTTGGGGACATGTGTTCCTGTGAACGAAAATCGAGATAGTGGTCGCTTTCAGTGGGAGGGATTGGTGTCAGGATCCCGTCCTCCCCACATCAATTTCCACAAATGGTCAAGCTGCTTGTATAAAATGGTGCAGTATTTACACAAAACCTTTATCCATCCTATTATAAACCTTAAATTATCCCTAGATTATGTGTATTACCAAATACAATGTAAAAACTTTGTAAACAGCACTTTATGCTTTCCGTTTAGTCTTTGAGAGATTGATTTTATGACTCAATTGCTTTTGTCCTTTCCACTAATATTTTGATCTGTGATTGGTTGACTCTGAGCCCTTAAATATGAAGCTGACTATATATATAATTTATATATGTATATATAATTAAACTTCTCTAAAGATACTAATATTTCAAGGACAGCCCTAAAGAACTCCATTTTAATTATTTATAGACTTGGAGACAGCGCGCAAGATTCGTGATGATACTGGGAGCATTGATTATTCTATAAAGGTTCTTTGAGTGCTTTTGATTAGAATATAACCAATATTCTAATGTGGAATTTTATCAAATAGATTTTCTAAATATATGTCTATATTTTAGTAGAATATGGCTAATAGTCCAACTTAACTTTTATAAGATTTAAACTGCAACGGACAACTGCAAGTTCAATTTTATAATGGAAGCTTTCATCCCTTGCCAAGATACATTAAAAACTTGGAGAAATAATTATAGTGGAAAAAATTAACATATATATTTAAATCAGCAAGAGGAGCTGAGGTTGGGGTTAAAGTTAGGTTGGCAGGTGTTGGATTTTTCCTTTTCAAGGACATGATCTCCGGGCAGTTTGATGTGACTGTCACGCAGTGTCACTTACCATCTTTCAGGATGGTTTCTCTGTCTGTGCCATCGATCTTCTGCCGGCCAATGAGAAAGCTCGTCGTATCCGCAAAGTAGACATAATTGGTTTCCGCGTGAAAATCTAAAGCACGAGGGTTGACCAGATTTTCTATAGGGATCATGTATTCATCCGCTATCTTGGCATTCAAGTCCATTCCTCTAACAATTCCTGGGCGGCCTTTCCCGTAAAAGAGGAACAACTCATTCTTTGGTCCTGCACAAGAAAGATTACACACATAAACAACTGATGCTGCCTAATCTTCTTTACACTGCATAATGCCACTGTTTAATTAACTGGCATAATTAGCATTTTTAAAATTCAATACCAAAAATTAAACTCTAAAATATGCCAAATGTATCTCAGTGCAAGAAGACTAGCTAATTGCCTAACTTTAATTAAAACAGAAATTACTTCCGTGAATAGGTTATATTTAGTAAAGTATTCTTTTTCTCTGTAACTGTTGAGACAGCAAAAACATGACAGATCATTGGATAACTTGCAACTGGGTAAAATGGTCATCTATTAAAACATCCGGCGCATTTAAATTTATAATCCATTACAATTTGTCTAACAGAATATGAAGATACTAACTGTAATATTAATTATATTTGACAATGCTAAAAATGTCAGAAAATTTAGAACACAACTCCCAGCATTTACATCTACAGACTGTCAGAGAGAAACAAAAAGAATTAAATAGCATCACTGATGTGCATGCGGATCTATTACAGTTCTCCAAACAAAGGATTTATTCTTTCAAGAAATGGAATCAACAGCGTATCATTTTTCTTCACATTTTCATTAGAATGTTAGGGATTGATGCTGTCTCCTTGTAATTGATAATCAAGCCAACTCTTATCCCACCCCTCAGCCCCTACCAAAAAACTAAAAAATAAAAACACATACACAAAAAACTGTCTTGAGTTAAAAATGCCAGAAGCAAGATAGTTTTATCTACAGATACAAAATAAATGTACTCTTTCAGGTTCTACAGAAAAATACATAGCATGATCTTTAATTCCTAAGGCATCTTCTGCTTGGTTTATTGTATAAATTTGAATTAAATACTTATTTTATATTGGAGAGAAAATTAACTGAGCTTTGTCAATGAAGTGAGAATACAAAGGAGTCAGCTTTGTTTGGACAACTGCACTTAGTAAACCTATCATAATTACATCATAGAAAATTTAGAAATAGAAGAGAATGAAACAATTGCCTTTATTCCTAACTTTTAATACAAATCGTAGTCAAAGAGGATTGCTACAAATCATAGAACCTTTATTGAATAGCACATGAATTGATTGTTTCTCAATATATTCCCCATCTAGGTCTACACACTTTTATAGAAGGCCTGTCCATGTCTCTAACCATTTCTCCCAAGTAATTCTACATGCTCACATTCATGGCACATCCAAACAACCGGTTGGGCATCCAAGAGGGACTCAGATCACGTTCTCTGTGAATGGTCTCTGAGCTGGGAAACAAATAGAAGTATGAAGGAGTAACATAGAGCTGCTGCAGGGTGGATAATGTAAGTGGTGCTAATGAAATTCTCAGAGAAGTCCTGCTATCCTCCAAGAATGAATAGGCACATTGTCATGAAAGAGGTGGAAAAGTTTGTGTAACTTCCCTAGCCAATTTCTTCCCAAAGTAGTTTTCCATTTTCTTCCAACTTAATCCAAATAAGCTTCCATGATCTTCCTATACTCCAGATGGCCCCTTTAGGGTCTCCAAGACACAGTTGTGATAACCCTCTGTACTGACCTCTGGGTCTTGAGTTTACCTGACTTAGCAGATTGCCCTGAAAGCCACTGTTTGATTGGACATCTTTTTAATGCATCCTAATGAGACTAAAACAAAGCTATCCACTGATTACTGAGACATGTAATCGCGTTTTGTAACAAATCTATGCATGCATGGATTGGACCAGATGTAGCAACACTTTTTGCCTTATTATTTTATATCATCTTTATTTTAAAAGTAATCTTATTAAGTACTCAATTTAAATAAGTGAATACTCAATGCTGACTCATAGCCACCTCTTTGGATTTCTGAGACTGTCACTGTTTACAGGAATAAGACCAGTCTTTCTCCAGTGGAGCTGCTGGAGGTTTTGAACTGCTTACCATGGGGATTGCAACACAACTCGTAATCACTACACCACCAGAGCCTCTCATATATAAATGAACATGTATATCATCTTTTAATATATCAAAAAAATTTAGTATATAAAAAAAAAAATCCAGAAGCTACTCCCTTTGTAAGGATGTCGACCATGTTTTTTTTAAAGTATGTTTTGCCAATTGACTGAGTTGTCCCATGAAAGAAATGACCTTAAGCCTTCAAAGCCATCCAATGCTGGAAGGTGTTTGGTTATGTCTAAAGAATGCTTGTATTTGTGTCTTCAGTGATTATAGGTGTCTGCACAACACAATTGTATTGATATTTACTGATAAGTGCATTGACACAGTGGCTACAACAATGGGCTTGAACGTGACATCTGTGAGGATGGTGCAGGACCACAGAGCATTTCATTCTGTTGTACATTGGGCCATTCTTACCATTTGTGAAAGAGATTGTTCCTGACTCATGAAACAAAAAAAAGAAAGAAAGAGAAGTACTAAAAAAAAAAATGTAGAGAAAAACAAATCCCATATATCTAGAACAGTTCTGAAAATATATGCAGTACAATGAAAAACACATTTATGCACCAAATCCATCCTCTCCCAACCAATACCCTGATAGTTGTGTCTATGTGTAGTACATGGTATGCTACATACCTGTTATGAAATATTTGTATTTTTCTGAATTTCTGTTTTTCATAAATGCATTTGTAATGAATGTCCTCAACAAATAATGTTATCAGTTTTGTTGCCTTTGTTCATATTACCAAGGAGCGTTGGTAGCACTGTTGAGTAAGAGGTGCTATGTTAACCCCTAATTAGAGGTTCAAGCCCACTAACCACTCTGCCTGGAAAGGTGAGGCAATCTCCTCCCATAAGTTTCATAAGCTCAGGACCTTTGTAAAATGGAGCTATGAGATGAATGGAGTGTGGGCAGTGGGTTGGATTTGGCTGTTATGGATGTCCATATGCCTACTCAAAATGATGTCTATTTCTAATTCTATTTGAAATGCTAGTTTCACCATATATGTGCTTGGCTACATCTATTTTTTATTTTTCATTGATGTTTTGATTGGCAATTTGTAAACCTGTTGCTTCATTAATTAAATATGACTGTGTGTGTGATATAAATAAGGAAAGTAAAACATTTTTTCAGTATTGTTTCCTTTGCTTTTATTTTAGTTGTAATAGATTGTTATTTAATACTTAATGTCAAGTTTCTTCTAGTTTGTCTTCATGTACGTCAAATAGTGGGGCAACTGAAAACTGTATGTAGACACAACTACCACGGAGCTGATTCTCAGTCACATCGATCCTATATAAAGCCTAGAACTGCCATGCCAGGTGGATTCCCAGCACGTAAGCCACTATGTCACCCACAACGGACTCAAGTCACTGTCATCCAATAGAAGCTGGCCCGTCGCACCTCTACAGGACAGGGTAGAAGTGAGTCTCTGAGACTGTCACTCTTTACTGGAGTGGGGTATGGGCTCTGGCGTAAGTACCTAAAAACATCAGACGCACTCGCTCAAGTCTCTGTCTCTCTCCCCTCTCTCTCACTTATTTTTTAGTTTCTGCCTCTGCTATGTTTCTAATGGATAAATTACTTCATTTTCTTTTATCAGCTGTCTTCTTTAATTTACCTTTGTGAACAAGAAAAAATAAGAAACACAGTATCTCTCCCCCTGCACAGTCCAACCCATAACCACTACCCCACCAGGACTCCAGATTTCATTATGAAGACCGTAACTAATTTTGATATTCTAAGGGCCATACATATATCTTGGATATATATATATTGCTTATTTAAGTAACAAGGTTTAAACTACTCTAGCCTATTAAAAAATAAAACAAATATGTGCCTGATGTATATGTGCCTAATGGATCTTTTCAATAAATACATTAAAGAGATTGAAATGTCATTGGTACAGCAGAGCCCCAGTGGCTCTGCGAGCTGCAGGGCAGCAGTGTGAAGCCAACAGACTGGTCCAGGGAGAAAGGCTGGGCTTTTTGCTCCCGTCCCAGTGATGGTCTCCAAAGGCCACCAGAGGAGGTCGCTCAGACTCAGCACAGTGGGTGTGTGTTTGTTCGGTCAGTTACCTCGGCAATTCAATTATAAAATTCATGTCTCTCTTCAAAGGGAAGCATGAGAATATGCAAATTATATTTGGGTCTAATAACACATCTACACAGAGCAGCATCTTGGTTTAAATAGAGAAAACCTGGTTCAACCAATGACCCTAGATCATCCATCAGAAACATTTCTTTAAGGGATTCAATGAAGAATCTCGGTAGAAATCTCACCTAAAGAATGCTTCCCTAAGATCCATAAACTTATGGACTCTACAGATTGTTTGCATTCCCATTCACATTATCACAAAACAATATTAAAAATCATTTTGAAAAAAAAATGGCTGGTACATATTTTCTGGCAAAGTACACCTGATGACGTTTCATGTTAATACTGATGTTGTTGCTGCTAATTAATGTGAGAAACCCTCTTTGGCAGCAGAAGCTGCTGGCGAAATGTTCGATTTTAACAACGTACTTTTGCATGATCTGCCATCACTTCCCAAGTTGAAGCCTGTCCTGCAGCGACAGGTCCGTGTTTTGTAACTGCTGCTCAGGAGACAGATGTGCGAACATCCCCCTGGCATGCCGTATGGATCCACTTCACATGCCTGGCTTCTGACTGCAACAAAGGACAAACAGCACGCTTGAGGTTCTCAGAAGATAAGGTAACTATATGCATCGGTATGCTGACACTTTCATAGTGCAAGAAGAATCCATGTAAAATGTTATATGCCCAAATCTTTAGTATCACAGCACTATTGAACCTAGTATAAAATCAGAGAAGAGGAAGGGATTCACCAACATCCTATTATGCTATGTATTTTTAAAATGTTCTTAGAATGGAAATATTTGTATATGAATTTAGAATGTTCATATGTAAGCAAAAGAAATCATATGAATTTTTGGTATATGCCTCTTTTGCTATTTTTTAAAAATAATGCATTTCTGACCATCGTAAAATATAATGTAAAAGTATCTGTTTAGGTAGTTTAATAGAGAATTCCTATCATTTCAAATTCTTTTTCTTTTTAATACAATGCATCATCTAGGAACTGAATTCAACAAATATCTTTACACTGTTGATAAATGCTAATATGTTGTGTGCGTATGGATACACACATATGCATACACTATTATGCACATAGAGTATATATAACTATATGTGTGTATATATACATATGGTTTTAAGTCTGTTGCTATTGCAAGAACTCTAGCATAAATGAAATATATATGTGTATGCGTGTGTGTGTGCACAATTGTCAAAAGAAGACTCGTTCACGTGTTGTGGGAGAGGAAGAGGGTGCTTCGTGCATTGAAGGTCCGAGGAAGGAAAAGAAAAGGACAATACAGATAGAATGTTAAAATGAGAGCCAGGTCAACGGGAAAAGTCTGAATATCAAATCATGCCAGCAGAATGTTAGCCTTACTTATCATTGTTTATCTTAGATCACCATTTCTTTGGAATTGCGATGAGTGGTCTGGCGATTTTCTCTCAATAATAAACATGCTACACTTCTCTCAAACATTGTACACTTTCAAATATTGCACCTCCTTATGCTTCCAGTCCTAGCTTCTAAGTGAGCAGATGGTTGCTCGTGACACTTTGACTCACTCTTTTCCACCGGAGTGCTGCCCGTGATGTCCACAACGGGGAGTCATTGACTGGTTCACATCTCTCAGCTACTCAGCAGCATTTTACTTTCTCACTTTCACCATCACTTTTGCTCTATTGATTGATTTATTCCCATCAGCATACACATTTTTTATTCTCCCCCACCCATCTTGGAAAAATAAAATAAACCTTATCACTCAAATTGCCACAGCAATCCTTCAACTTGCTCATTTCTCTTATCACCTTCAATACTTCTCATCGTTATCTCTGCTCATTTTCTCCAACTATTTTCTTTCTTGGTTCTCTCAAACTCGCTCTATTCAGATTTTCACTCCATTGCCCCATTAAAATCACTCTTGTAAGATCCTAATCAGTTCTGCACTATTAAGTTTAATGGGCTATTGAGTTGATAAAGCTTTTGAAGCTATCTTTCTGGTACCTTCTCATCTCCTTATTTTCTTGTTTGGGAGTGCCCCTGTCTCTGTCACTTGGAATGCTTCATGTTCCCATGACTCTAAATATCCTCACCATGCCACCTGGCTGACAATGACTCCCAAATTTCTATTTCCAGTCTGCACTTGCTCACCAAGTTTCACTTGGATTTATAATACACATATGATGTAATCTGTAAAAATCAAGCTCATTTTAACTTCCCCCAATTCATTCTTAGCTCAAGAGAACTCCTTTACTGAAGTTGCTTCAGCCAAAACATTGACAATATCTCTGATTTCTTCTTGGTTATCCACCACATCATCAGGAAGTCGTTTCTGTCTTCAAATCTAACTACTTCCTCTCATGATACACCACATGTAATGATTCTGTTTAATCCAAATCACCTTCCTTTTTAACCCTACCACACCGATCCCAAAATCTGTTCTCATGAAGATCTTAAAAAATGCCCACCATATCATGAGACTCATCAGCTCAAAGAACTGCTAGCCTCACTAAAAGTAAACACAAATGTTTGACAACATTGCATAGGGTCCTCTCACTTACTTACTATCTCTCACTTCTTCACCTAGTTTCCGACCTCTCTGTGTCTTGCTAAAAGTACAGGTCCCCTTGCTCCTCCTTGACTAATCTCGACATTTCCATTCTTCAGGCCCTCTGTGTGTGCTTTCTTCTTTACCTGCTCTTTCTCTAAATAGAAAAATGTTTCTTTCTTTTAATGACATCATCTTCCTTTAATGTCATCTCCTCAATTAGACTTCCTCTAATGTCGCTGTACTTTGCACTCCTTCTTTAACATTTCTCAGCTTCCTTCTTTTTTCCCCCATAATACTTATTACTCTCCAATGCTATTCTTCCTTTCATTATTCCTCACTAGTTTTCTTCCTTTAATCACATAGGTATGCGTGAATGCATGTAAGAAGTACTGCGTGGTACAAATGGCTAAGGTACTTGATGCTAGCCATAGGGTTGAGGGTTCCATTTCTCCCAGAGACTCCTTGAAACAAAAACCTGGTGATCCATCCCTCTGAGAAGTCAACCTTTAGAAATCCTATGGAGGACAGATCTACTCTGAGATCAATGGAATCATCCGGAGTCAAAGTTGACTCTCTGGCAACTGATTATTGGTAACGTAAGTATTCTATTTTCTTCATTAAAATGTAAATTTCATAAAGCAAAATAATAGGTGTCTGTTTAATTACCTTGTTTCTCAGTCTGTGTAGAATTATTCCTGGTAAATAGTAGATGCTCAATAAATTTTAATTAACTAGTATATCCTCATATCAAATTTAAATGAGATTAACCACTGAATTCCAAAGTTGAATTTGTTATACACATATTAAAAATATGTTTACTCAATTGGATCTATTTAAAGATTTTGCTAGACTAGGTTAGTTTTAATTTGAGACATAAATAGAGGATGTAAATTTAAGATGGTGCTCATTGTATGTTATATTCCTGTAACTATGACGGAGGTAGACCGTATTGCAAAAGCAGTATCTCTAAGTGATTGTGAAATATAATTTGTTTTGTTTTCAGAGATATTTAGAAATATTGCAGTGTCCTCATTAAAATATTTTTAATGCAATGTGATAAAAAAACAACCATAAAGTTGAGTCAGAAGAACCTAATGATTGCTGTAAACACTGGGAAAATACTGCAAGACAGACACCTTATTTTAAATCTGTACCCTAAAATGAAAAAAAAAAATCTTAGCACTTGAGTTCCTGTCTACATACATCATGACTGAAAGCTCCTTCCTAAACCAAAAGCTAGCCATCATTGCTATTATATTGTTGTAGAAATGATTCACTAGGAATTGAGCGATTTATCACTTAGACTTGTGGAAGGAACTCTATTTATTGCCTTTTATCAGGCAGATATGTACACGTTTGATATCAAAACAGATCATTTATGACTTTCCCATATTAACACCACACAAAAGCACAAAGACTATATTTCTATTCAATCTGTCATTAAGAATGAAGGCTGAAAGAAGGCTTGCATCTTACCTGTTGGTTGAGTTCTTTTTTGATATATTCGTATTCCTCGTGCATTTTCCATCATAATTAATGAATGAATATCAGTGCTATTAAATCGGTTTATCCTTATGATATTATAATTATCAGCATTTGTTGCATATAAATAGTTTTCAAACACAGTTATACCATACATATGTCTGACCTACAAAGAGGAAAAAAATAACTATCAGTTTAAATTATACTCATTTTCAATTATGTGAACTTTAAGGAAAGACTGATTGTTGTTTTCTTGGGCAAAACCCTGCTTCCATCAAGTGGATTCCAACAAAAAGTGATCCTATAGGACAGAGCAGGGCGGCTCCCTCGGGTTTCAGAGAGCTTCCTGCTTGTTGTTGGGTTTGGATCAGCCACAGTGGGATTAACAGTCCAACGCTTAACAGACTGCACCACTGCAGAGCCTTATGATGATAGTAGTTGTATCAAAAACATAACATTTATTTTCCTTGGAGGAATTTAGTAATTCCATAATTCAATTTTTTCTTTGAACAAGTTAAAATTATACAATCGATGGATTTTAAAAAGCGCTAAATGTATGTGGAATTCTTTTTTTTGCATTTCACTAGGAAAACACAACCAGTAGCCACTTTTTAAGCACTAGTTATAACTAAATTATTTTCTGAACACTCTTTTATGAATAATAATTCTAGATGTTTTTATGAAGTACTTGTGCGTGTAGTCGTGGGCTGCGATGTAGCTCTGCTTATAAGAACTCAACTTTGAGGTCTGTTCCAGAAGCACCGAGCCCCATCTTTATGAAAAGTTGCATTTAGACCACTACTCACTACAGCCTGGAGAGCAGTGTGTAATACAATTATACATTTGTGATAACAGTAAGGAAATTATCAGTGTTTTACTTAGAAAGTGCATTCTTTCTAATGCGTATGCATAATGTAAAATGGGAATACTTCCTTTCGGAAAGATGATGCTTTATTGCTACTTATAGCAATAAAACTAACCATCTAAATCTATTGCCTGACAGAGATCTTGGGGTTTGTGGAGGAGAATGGAAATCTTAGAGTCACACAGGGCTTCCAGAAGATCAGAAGAAAAGAAAGAATGAGTTACTGATTTTTCTGAATTCAATATCACAAGCTAGGTGCACGGCCTTTGGGCATTCTTCATATTTTATTTCATTTTAAATGGTCTGGTCCAGGGTATTTGGAACTGTCAATTGATTTGCTGTAGAGAATTTGATGAAAGAGCATTTGTCATTGCTTTGTGATATATAATATATGTGTGTGTATGTATATGTGTATGCACACGTATATATGTATATATGAGTATGCACCTATACATATTAACTGTACATATGGAGTGGGTATTTATATTTATAGATACATATGTACTTAGGAGAACTTGAGAAAGTATGCATGCTTTCACTGTACACTTACTTATCTGTAGACCAAAGTTAATTAGAAGACCCTGTCTGTGGCACCTGAGGGACTGGATGAGCCTGTAACGCAGCTAAATCTTTGATGCTCATAATTACGGGCCTGGAAATCCGCCTCCAGTGGGGGAAGACACACATGGTTATGAGACATAAGTAAATCTTCATACACATTATTCTGACTGAACACAGTCCTTCCAACAGCCCCCATAAAGGAACTGTCATTAAGGAGCTACCATATAAGATGAACCATTCACCAGTAAGTCTGTTTCATGTGCCGGAGGTGATCTGTCGATAAGAGCAGTCCTGGTCGGTAAGGGAACCCACCATAAAATGCAGGAACCCCCTGAAGAGGGCCCAGGGGCAGTAGGGGTTCACTAGCACTAGGTCAAGATGATGACTCGCCTCACTGCTGATTCATTATGCTACCTGCTGATGCTATTACCCGTTGACTACGTAATGTCTGCTGTATGATGTGTCTGCCTTTTGAAAGATCTATAAAGCTCATGATATATTCTCCCTGGAAAATGCCTTCACTCTTTCAGTCCTGACAGGGATGAGGAGGCCCTATGCCCCGGTGCCCCATTGTCTGCCTTATTTCCCACAATTGCAGAGTCATTCCTAAGGACAAGTTCAGGTGCTGGGGACCCCAATTCCCTGACATCTGTCAATTCTGCAGTTCTGGAATCTTGCCAAAACATTTCATTTGATTTTCCTTGCTATGCATTACTTAAGTGTATTAGCCTTGCTCCTCCTGTATGAGAAGTGACTAAAGGAAAAAGAGTGGATTGAAGGTGCTCTTTTTGACCCATATCAAATGTCAAGTCTAGCCCGGCAATGAGTGATAGTAGTTAAGGGGAGGCCGGGGAGAGTTCTTCATGTTAAAATCTATCATTCATCTGTCAGATCGCCACAATGCACGTGTGAGTCCCTGTGGTGCTGGACGCTATGCCACCAGCAAGCGTCACGCATGGTGCTCATAGCAAGAAGCACTTGGAAGTCTTTTTTTTTTTTTACAGCCCAAATACATAAAAATACTATCTATGTTGGATTATTTGTATCCAACTAATTGTGTGTGCATGGAACTAAGAAAACACAGGCCACAAGAATAAAAATAGACATTAACATTTTAAACACTGAAAATTGTTTTTAGTAATCAGTAAAATTAAGAAATTTTGTTCAACTTCTCTTTGTTGTTTCAACATTGGCAATTTTCACTTTTTAATCACATGTACAGGAAGGATGTTCACCGTGATTTTTCAAGGTTTCACTCATCGAATGTTCATTAACTAGCCCTACCTTCCAGCAACGAAAACAAACAAACAATGAAGGTGACTAGGGCAGTTAAAGGAAAGTGATGAGTTCTTATTGACACCTATATTATCGGGCCCATTTTTAAACCATGTAGCTTAGTATATCCGATTATTTGTTAAGGAAAGAGAAAACATTGCACTAAAACTAGTAAGAAGGGGTAACTTTGAGAATTCAGAATATACGTGAAACAGAATTGACTCAGCGGTAATGGGTTTAGTGGTAGATTGAGGATGATTACATAGGAAAGGAAAGAGATCCCCATATTTCAGTTCCATAGAATAAAAACCATGTAAGTGAATGTGACACAGTGCAACAGTAACAAAGTCCTAGTTCCACTTAAATATATGATATTAGTTGGGTACTTACTAATAGCTATTTGTAAAAATTGTTGATTCATTAAGGACAAAAAGTAAGAAATGAGAAGAATTTTGACCTCAATGACTTTAACAGAACTACTACGTACTTTAAGGCATCAGAAGGCAAAGTTAATCCAAAGCATTAAAGTAATAAGGATGTTTTTGTAAGCAGGCATTTGCTTTTGTTAACAAAATATCTCCCATGCCACATGGAGCAGACAATCATAGTTCCATTCCTCAGGAATGCACTTGTTAAATTAGCTTTTGGTAAGTAGGTCATTGCCAACATTTTTAGTAGTAGATAGCCAGGTCCTTTGTTCATAGCCTTCTGACCTTAGTTTTGCCCAAAGCAATTCACTGTAGATGACAGCAGGGCTAGTACTTGAAATGCACATTCTAGTGGTGTGGCTCCCAGCAACACAGGAACTGACAGATGAGTGGAGGTGAAAGCCTTATGAATACTAGAACACTGCTGATAGAGGGCTGCATGAAGAGCATTTCAGATAGGCAGGCATTAAAACTCTGACTGGGAAAGAGCTCTCTACTCAAAGTACAGTTGACCTTCATTTACCTTGTGGAAGGAGTAAAGCGTTGGGAGCCTTCACTGGCTGTTTTGTAATACCACAAAACAGAAAGAAACACCTGCACGCATACATTAATAACTAAAACCTCCACTCTATAAAGTATTACTGCAAGAAATTGTAAAGTTGTAAGAAGTAAAATGAAATCCTTGAAGATCAAAATTCTAAACATCAATGAGCTAAAATAGAGCTGCATTGGCCATTTGGAATCAGATGTTCCCAATGCCAAAAATTATGAATCAATGAGGAATGGCATTACACTCATCACTGAAAACATTTCAAGATCTATTTTGACACACAGCACTGTGAGTGATAAGACAATATCACGTACCTACAGGTAAGACCCGTTAATATGACTATTACACACATTTATGAACTATGCAGTAATGCCCAGGAGAAGAAGTGAAAAATTTTACCATCACGGCAGTCTGAAATTAATCAGTCATGCAATCAAGACACACTGATGACTAATGGGGCTTAGCCTGTGAAACTTGGAAGCAGGGAAGGATCCACAGGTGGTAGCAAAAACGGATAGAATTTTGTAAGACCAATGATGTATACTTACAAAAAATTTTTTTTCAATATAAATGGTGACATATGCATTGCCCTCACTTGGTGGAATACACAGAATCAAATTCCCTACATCAGTGGTAAGAGACAAGAGGGAGGTTCAATAGCATCAGTCAGATGAGGCCAAGGGCTCATGCAGCACAGATCAACCGCTCATATACAAACTGGAGTTGGAGCTGAACAAAATTAAAACAAGTCTGCAAAAGCCAACATAAAACCTTAAGTTTATCCCCCACTAAACCTAGAGATCATCTCAAAATAGCTTTGATGATTTGAACATTAACCTAGGACATCATACATGAAAAAAGGAAAGCAGAGGATAGAAAGAAAAGATCCAAATGAATGGTAGTTGAGCCTTCTAAACTTGTCCTTGAAAACAGAGTCGCTAGTGTGAATGGAAGAAGTGATCAAATCAAAGACCTGGAGAAAATATTTAGCAGGGCAGCTGAGAAGGCAAAGTAACTAAATACAATGAAATGCGAGAAGAATTGGAGTTAAAGCGCAATTTATGTTTGGCATGTCTCAAGATTGAAGAACTGAAGGAAAATGTCAGACCTTGAATTGAAATATTGATAGACTTTATGGGAAAGGTATGGAATGATACAGGAACTATCAAAGGAATAAATAGATTCACTCTGCAAAATAATGGTTGCTATTCAATCATTCCAGAGGGCAGCAGATGACTACTGGAATGGAAAGGATCATTCCAAGCGGCATTTAAAGCATTGGTAGAGAACACGGCTCCAGGAATTGACATAAAACCAATTGAAATGCATCGACCAAAAATCCAGCACTGGAAGCTCTCACCCATCTCCGTACTAAGGAGGTACCTGGCCAATCTAGTGTCAAAGAAGGATGTTTTTCCCATTACAAAGAAACTCATTGAATAAAACAAAGAAATGATCAAGCAACATTGTTGATATCACACACAAGTAAAACAGTGTTGAATATAATAAAAGTGGTTGCAGCTGTATATCAATAGGGAGCTGACATGAATTCAAGCTGGATTCAGAAGAGAACTCAGAATGAGGGATATCATGCTGATGATGAACAAATCTTGGATAAAAGGAGATAATACCATAAATGATGTTTATTTGAGTTTTATTGACTATGCAATCCAGGGGACTGTGTGGATCATAACAATTAGAGAAAGAATGTAAATTCCAGAACACTCCATTGAAGTCATGCAGAACTGGTTCAAAGAGTCAGGCCCAAGTGTTGGAAGAGAACAAAGTTCTGCTACATGGTTTAAAATCAAGATAGGTGTGTGTCGGGACTGACTCATTCCTCTTGTATTCAGTCTATCTGCTGAGCAGATCATCCAGGACTCTGGCTTTTATGAAGAAGAGAGCGTGTCATCAAGATCGGAGGAAGGCTCACTTACAATCTAGGACAGGTGGACAGCACCCCTGGCTTGCTGAAAGTGAACAGGATGTGAAACACTTACTGAGGAAAATCAGAGACCTTCAGTATTGATTATACATCAATAGAAAGAAAACAAAAATTCCCATATGGATAATTAAGCAGCACCATGACAAGTGGGAAAATATCAAACTTGTCAAGCTTAACTTTTAATATGGATACACAATTGATGCCCTAGCAGCAGCAATAAAGAAATCAAACAATGTAGTACATTGGGCAAATCTGATACAAAATAATCTTTAAAGTATTTAAAGACTAACGATATCACCTTCAGGACTAAACTGCATAATATAAGTAAGGAAGACCTAAGCAGAATTTATGCTTCTGAATTGTGATATTGGCAGATGATATTGAATGTAACAAGGACTGCCAGAATAGGCGCACGCATGTCTTGGAAGAAGTACAACCAGAGTGCCCAGCGGATGTGAGGAGGATGAGATTTTCCCTTGTGTAAATTGTACGTGCCATTAGACCAGGGATTGGTCTGGAGAAAGACATTGTGTTTGATCTGACTGATGGTCAGTTAAAAAGAGGAAGATTCTCCGTGAAACGGATGAATTCTGGGGCTGCAACAATGGCCTCCAACAGAGCGGCCCCTGTGAGGACGATGCCGGGCCAGGCAGCATGGCCCAAGGTGCACAGGATCCTTGTGAACTTGAAGCAACTCAACCGCATCGACCAATAGCAGCAGTGACAGCACGTGGGCCATTAGATGTTCCTGTCCTAACAGTCTTACTTCCTACATATAGCTTTTTAAATTCTTGTTATGTCCTTTTGTGTGTTCACGTTTAGTTGTTTTTTGATCGTTTGTGTTATTTCTAATAGAGGGGAAGAAGAGTGATCTGAGGCTGTGAATGCAATCTGAAAAGCAAATTCTCTCTTAGAAACAGTATTTTACCAAAATGTTTATGACTCGTTTCAGTTTAACTTCATAAGAACATTCACCATTGAGGGTTTGGGTCTCTTTTGCTACATAAAACCACTCTTTTATGAGCTGTATGCTTTTAAAAAGGTTGTACGCACGTGTCTGCCTTGGATGATAACGTGTCTGTTCTTTCCATGGTAGTCCACCACCTCCACAGAGTCCAGGTAAAGATCTACCCAGTAAACCAATTTGCTGATAAGGTCCAGGGCCAGTGCGACCGGTTGCTCTGTCTTGGACTCAATTATCCTCGTTCGGTTCATCCCGTCCATGTCACAACGCTCTACTTTGGCCACATGCCCGTAGTCGGTGAAGAAAAGTTTCCTGTTGAAAGAAAGCTAAATGTTAACGTGGAAGGAGAAAGCATATTTGATGAAACCATCTGTAAGAAAAAAAAAAGAACTTTTTGTTCTAATTTAATTCAGTGGTTACATCTGCTAGCTTCCCATAACCATTTCCATATAATATCACTCATAAACAGAGAAATCTGCTAATGAATATTGCAGGGCATAAGGGAGCAGGTGAAACAACAACTGTAAAATATTCTGTAAAATAAGTGATTATGGTGGGATCATTTTTGTATTAGAAGAATGTTTCTTTAGGCCTCATAGAGCCAGGGCAATGTGCAGCACAGGAGGCAGCTGGGAGATCATTTAGCAGAGTTTTCCGAAGGGAGCCAAGTCACCAGGCCAGGTCACATGAGCTATCAGGCTTTATCTTCAACCTGCTTTGCAAATGGCTGGTAATGTTCATCTCCTATGAAAGCTATTACGAGGAGCTCAGTGATGCTATGAGTAGCCAACCTGGAATGGAATTAGGCAGATGGAAAAGGGAATGTGATGTTTGTTGCAGTGGAAATAAAAATAACTTCTCAGAAAACCAATCCCTAATCCTCTCAAATATTCCCAAACCACAGAATTTCATAAAAGGCAATCAATAAAGACCATGTCTCCTTATTTTCTCAATACATTTTGAGAAAAGGGGTCAAAAGAAACGTCAGCCTTGGAGTCCACATACTCTGTCAGGTAGCACTGACAGTGTCTGTCAAAGGTTAACGTGAACCTTTGACATGTCAGTGTCTAATATTAGTATTCACTACATTTAGATGACACAAATAAATTTCAATTAACCTGACAATATTTTAACAAGGTTACCTAGTCGTTAGGTTAAATTACATTGATAAATAGAAGACCAGTTGCCTTCATGTAAAAGCACCCTCCAGAATAATCTGATTTACAATGACTCAGCAATATTAACATTACCTGGTGTATAGCATACTTGATTTTAGAAACCTGTAGAATTAGTTTTTCATTAGTGTTCTCAGTATTTATGCATTATCTAACAGAATGGGATAACTTAGAAAGGACTTATTTAAACTTTAATTCCATTCTTTCTGCTGTGGGAGATCAACAGAATTTTATATACCAATGCATACTGTTATGTGATAGTGTGAGCCAAATGTCATTATGAGTATGTGATTTCCCAAATGTTCTTGCAAGATTCATTTATCACAATAATTTAAAAATGATTGTCCAAGCAATTCCATTCAGGTGAAGAAGAGCCTTCTATTAGAGGCAAGAATGGATTAAAGGACAGTTGGCATTTTGTTCTCTTGTCAGGCTAACCATCAAAATACATGCACACAGTGCCTCTCTCATTCTTCTCCCACCTCTTGCCAAGTTCCTGGTATCTTCCTTTTTCATTTGTAAATCTGTTAGCATTTACCCCAAATGACTCTTCTAGAAGAACTAGCCTGTTTCTTTTTTACTTTCTGAAGACCACCACCTATTTTTTAAATTATTTTATTGGAGGCCCTTAACATCTCTTATCACAATATACATTCCTGCAGAGTGTCAAGCACATTTGCACATATGGCGCTATGAACGTTTTCGGAGCATTCTCTTCCCACTTGAGTTCCTGATAGCTGCTCCCATTCTTCCCCTTCCTTCCCACACCCACCCTCCATCATAAACCTTTGATAAGTTATAGATTATTTTTTCCATATTTTACATCATCCTCCGTAGCCCCTCACCCACTTTTCCATTATTCACTCCCCTGTGAAAGGGTTCTAGTGATTCTTGCGATTGATTCCCCTTTCTCTCCCTTCCTTCCCTTAATCCTCCTGGTATCACTACTCTTCTTGTTGGCCATGAGGGGTTTATCTATCCTGGATTCCCTGTGTTGTGGGCTCTTATTTGTAGCAGTATGCATGCTCTGGTCTAATCCGATATGTAAAGTAAAATTGAGATCTTGATAGTGGGGTAAAGGAAGCACCAAAGAACTAGAGGAAAGTTGTGTGTTTCATCGGTACCTTACTGCACCCTGACTGGTTCATCTCTGAATTCCCTTTCTCTCCTCATCCCATAATGGTACTCCTTTAATAATTTTATTATTGGACCCAATTCTCTAATTTGAAGAGGAGCTTGAGTAATTATAGTTTGAATTTAAACTTGGAAAGTGCACACATGCAACACAATGCAGAAAGAGGAATAAAGCAGGCAATTTAGACCATCTACTTAGTATTTAAGAGGAGAGATGAGTCTAGGAAGAGATATTTCTCGAAATCATATTGCGATTTCCAAAAAGAAAATAACAAAAAGAAAGTCAAGACAAAAACTTTTTACAGGCATATTGTTGGAGAAAGAACAAACGAGGTTAGATTTTATGGTCAAAGATATAATATAGACATAAAAAGAAGAAGAAGGGAGAAAAATGTCTGGGTAATAAAGAATTGAGTTAGTGGCTGGATCAACCACTTTAGAATGTTAAAAGGAAGGATGGAGACAATGTCATTGAATTTGGTGTACATTAAAGTACTAGCAATTTTTGATTACGCTATTTGAAAACTATAGGTAAAGGAAAAGAGTAAAACGCAAAATGAACTATATTAAAAAATGTATGCTCTCAATTGTGTGTGTGTTTTGCTTTTTAAAGTGATCCATCAAATCAAACCCACTGCCATCAAGTTAATTCAAATGTAATCAACCCTATCTATGTAGGGTTTTGTAAATATCCCTGGGAACAGCCAGTCTCCTCTCTCTCCTTGGTTAGAACCAGAGTGCCCTCGGGGCTCCTTAGTTGACCTACAATTGCAAAACTGATGCCAGCGACTCATATTTATTCCAATTTATAATAAAATGGTTGAGGAAGTTTTCCTTTTTCTGTTTTTAATCTCCTTTCTGAGTAAGTTCCAGGCAAAATATGCAAACGTGTAAATATATAGTTCATCACAAATTTTCTCTTTTAATATAGTGGAAAACCAAAAGAATAGGAGGCTTATGCTTCTGTGAGGTGGTACTTAGTAAGGAGAAATCATAACAATGTGTCTGTCCTAGTACCTGCAAAGCTGATGCCCAGTGGGGCTTAAAAATAACATTTTTTTAGATGTAAATAACATTTCCTAGACTACAAAATCTTGACCATGATGAATTCTGTTTAATTCTAAATAAATTGCAAGTATTAGGAAAAATTTATTTGGGACAGTAGCAATAAAGCTACAGATGTTGAGTCTACAGTTACATAATTACACATTTTTTGTTTATTTGATTGTTATTGATATTGTTTGATTTTAGTTTAAAATATCTTTCCTAGTAATATGGAGATAAGCTGAATTTTGTGGGCATTCTTTAATTAAAATAGCTACACTGTAACCAATAAACATAAGCTAAAGCTTTTAATTATTCAATATCAAGCCAAATTTGTGATGTAAATGTAGCTGGGTTAAAACTGTGCTCTCTTCTGTTTTATAAAGTAATTCTCCATATCTTACAAAAGTGAATGTCACTCCTTATCTCCCTGACCCTCATAATTATGTACTTGTAAGACACAGGGGCAATTTTTTATTTTAATAAAAAAGGCTCAAAGCCGACCTGGCTAATCAATTTCAGAATGATAATATATCATGTATTTTTTACTCAATCTTTATTTGAAAAAACATTGTAAAGTGTTGTAAAATAAGACAATAAACTCCTATAACCTTCAGCTAGATCCACCAGTTGCTAACTTTTTGTCCCACGGGTTTTTTTCCTTTATTTTCTGAACCATTTCACAGTCAATTTTGGGGTCCCATAATCATTTATATCTAAATATGTCAACATGTATCCCAGAGAACACAGACATTTTCTTGCGTGAGCACAGTGAATTATCAAAATAACACTTTTTACATTAATAGTCTTTATTTGAACTTTTTCTGTTTATCACTACTGTTCATTATAGTAAGTAGATAAGTGTATAGACTATAGAAACAACCAAAAACGAGCACACTGGTCCTGCACCATCCTCACAATTGTTCCTGTACTCGGGGACATTGTTGCAGCCACTGTGCCATGCCATCGTGTTGAAGGTCTTCCTCTTCTTGGATGGTCTTCTACTTGACCAAGCATGATGGTCTTCTCCGGGTACTGGTCATTCCTGACCACTTGTCCAAAGCATTCAGGCGAAGTCGCACCATCCTTGCCTCTCAGGAGCACCCTGGCCCTATTTCTTCCAACATAGATTAGTCTGTCCTTTGGACCTGGTGCTTTCAATATTACTCACCAGCACAATCATTCAAACGCACCACTTCTGCTCAGTCTTCCTTATTCAAGGTCCTACTTTCACATGCAGATGAGGCAATTGAGAAGGAGATTGCAGGCACACTTTAGTCCTCAAAGTCACAACCTTGCACTGATTTCCACACTGTAGAGTTCTTGTACAGCAGATTTAACCAATGAAATGCATCATTTGATTTCTTGAGTGCTGATTCCAAGAGCATTGATTGTGGAGCCCAAACAAGACAGAATTCTGAACTGACTCAATGCCACCCAACAAAACAACATAAAATAGATTGAGAAATAATACATTTTTGATCCATAATCCAATGCAGCATCTTACATTGCATTTCATTGTCACCCCGCCCCCTAAATGCCTTTCCTCGAGAACCGTTTTTCAGGTTTCTGGCATAGATGAATGTTGATATTTTTAAAAGGCACATGAGTTGTGATGAAAACATTCAAATTTTGAATTAGTATGATTTTATTATAATTAGCATTGTGCTAACCTTTCTAAATAGAAGTCGAATCATTTTATACTTAAATGTTTCTGCCCTTGGAACCTAGAAACCTGAGAAATGTGTAACCCACCCAAAATGCTACAAAAGGAAGGTGTTTGGAGACCTTGTTTATTCCAACATGTTCAGTACTTTCCTCTGGTTTCCCAGAATCCTCAGGCACTCACTTAGCAACTCCTCTAACCAGAAAGCATGTGTCCTTACGCTGAACTGTGCAGCTGGTGTGGGAGCCAATATGGTACTTTACCATCAAATCCAGGCGATTGGTGGAAACCAC